AAGTTCATTTAAAATACAGTCACAGGAAATTGTGGTTTTTACCACTCTTTTTTTTTAAAGGACACTACATTTAATTTGTAAAGTAGGAATAAACTCAGCAAGTTATTTTATGTTTCCAGGTGGCCTAAAGTATGTTTGTTCAAACTATTACTCAGTTCTTCAACACAAAAGATAATGAGTTCTATACTAACACACACACACACACACACACACACACACACACACACACAGCATTTAAATTGCTAACCTTTTGGAAACTGCTGGGAAAGAAAAGCTTGTGAAGACGGTTTGCTTACCCAGCAAATGCACTTCCCGAGAAAGTCAGCGATACCTGGGAGACTTTCATAGATACCATCAAATTTATTCTTGCTTCTGAGGGTTTAGAATGAGCTGTTTTTATGGGCAGAGTGACAGGTTTGACGAGGCAGAAGGTGTCACTGTACTAACAACAGCTTAGAAGCGTGACAAAAGATTCTTGAATAATGACAAGAAACGACCTGTTACGTACCAGGACAAGGGGCGGGGGTGTATAGCTCAGTGGCTCAGCGCCTGCCTCTCAAGTGCAAGGTCCTTAGTTTGATTCCCGGTACCAAAGTGGGGGGAAAAAACCAGGGCAAAGAGTAGCTAACTGGTGGCTAAAAGCTGGGGAAGGGCTGGATCCCTGCGAAGTGGGTGAAAGTTGCTAGGGTAAAAGAACGCACCCTAGCGCCTTAAAAGGTGCTGATGGATTAACTTGTTTTACCCTCCCAGTGAGACACTGAAATGAGGCTTTTCCCTCTTCCAAGGAATTTAACAGGGATGGTGCAGATGACAGCAGTTGCAGACGGGTGGGGGAGGGGTGCCCCGACCCTCCCACACGGGGTGTGATGCGTGGACATTCTTCCTGGCAGTCAGGCTGGTTACTGACAAGACCCTAAGGCACACTGCGTGCTGTTGCCTCACCATTTGGCCACCAGAAACAGGGGCCACCAGCTCTCCTATGTCCAGAACACCCGTCCCCTCCCTCCCCAGAGTTCAGGACTTGAAACCTTGCAGGTTCGCGCAAGCTCCGGGCCCAGGGAGTTGTAGTTGTTGTGTACATGCTGGAAGCTTGCTTGGGATGAGCCATTCTGTAGCCGAATGGGCACTGCCAGGGCTGGTGTCCGGGGACAGCATTTTTATAAAGGTTGTGTGCATCTTTGCATTCTGCTTTGTGCATTAGAACCAGCCCCTGCCAGCCCGAAACTGCTCAGACCCCGGAGACCCCCGTTATCCCAGAGACAGCACTCATCTCCTCTGAGTGGGCCGTCACACCCACAACCTAACCCGGTCCACGCTCACGTGCCCCCGTTCCGGACCATTCCCGATCTCCACACTGCTGGTGGTGACAGCACCGTCCACCACAGCCCTAGCGGTGCCTGGACCCCTCCCCCCTTCCCACCCAAGCCAGGCTTCCTTGCTGTTGCGTTAATATTATCCCTTCATTATTGCAGACTGATCAGGTCCACGATCTCCCAAACACATGGACAGCGAAGGCTAAATAAAAGAGACAAATGGAATGATTTCAGGGCTCCAGGGGGATCAGAACCCGCTCACAGAATTCGAGATTCTCTCAGGGCTAAGACTAAGATCTTCTCTGGGTGGCCCATATTTATTTAGTTATCAGAACAAGGGAGGGGAGTACTCAAGAAGGGTGGAACCACCCAAGGACTCCTCCAAGTAAGGCCTTATGTTAATATAGGAGAGCTATGTTAACTCCAGGGAGGTCTCTGCCCAGGAGTGAGATGCCTGCAGCTGCAGTCTTCATGTAGTTGAGGGTGGAGCCAGGTGTGCTTAGCTCTGGCCTTGCCTCGTGCTTTGCATCACCGGCCACTCAGGACCAGTGACTCACAGAGGTTCACTTACTATGAGTCCGCTGCCCATCTCCAGACAAGGGGCCTGGGCCTTGGACAGACTCACAAGTAAACATGGAGGACCCGTTGGTTAATATTAAATCGGGCTCAGAGCCGCCTCGTAGTGGTCTCCATCACCTTGCCACAGAACTTACGTAGTAACCAGTGGCTTTTGTAGCCCTTCCCTGCTTGTAATTCATCAAGGTGTAGGAGCCATTTCTTGAGGTAAGACTCAGCCAACCCCGTCTGCAGGCCAGATCTGGTCCCTTCGCTGTTCTTGTACAGCCTGTGAGCAGACGACAGCCTTTACTTTTCGTGTGGTAGATAAAACCCGCCGTCCTGAACCTGTGGCTCTGCCTCCAAGGTGTCTCCTGGCCACTGGCAAGGAGGCAGGAGATGAGCACCATTCCCCAGGGAGCCCTTCCCCACGGAGCCCCTCCCAGACAGAGGCTTCTGTCCTGAACGTCCTGTCCAGATACTGCCGCTAGTGGTTTATCAGCCACCCCTGCCTGGCCAGGAGGCTGGAAGACAGGGGCTTCACCTGGGTACAGCTCCATGCTGTGCCGTGGCAGGACCCTGCTTCCAAGGAGGTGGACTGCGTGGACAGCAGCCTGCGTCACAGAGCAGGCGTTCGCGCAGAGGGGACGGAAAGGGCCTATGCACTGAGGGAGCGTGAGTGGCATCTAGGCTGTGGCTAAAGAGTAACGCGAGATTTTCCCTCATATGGCCAGAGTCCGTTCATCCATCTGACACAGTGGTCAGCTGTCTGCCAAAGCCGCAGGGATTCTTAGTTGATGTTTACCTCACCATCATCAGCACCCTAAGAAAAACACAAACAAATAAACAAACAAAACCCACTCAGGTTCCTAGTGGTGCACCGTGCTGTTTGGGGCCCTTTAGCCAAGGTGGGATAGAGTGACTGACGGGCATCACCATACCTTGCTGAGAACTCCCCACATCCAGGCCCTACATAGTACTGTGAATATACTGTAAGCAGTTTCATGCTCACAGAAGCCCCATGAGTGAGTGGAACTGCTGCCGTGCCCATTTTACAGGAGAGAAAACTGAGGCAGAAAGAAGTGAATCACTTGGCTGGAGCCACACAGCTGACAGATGGTGGATTTGGACCCCATCTGCCTGACTGCGGAGGCTCTGATCTACTTCTCTGCCATCCGGATTTCAGTCTAAGCCCGAGCAGGACAATTAGGCCACAACAGAAACCCATTCAGCCAGCAGATGCCCATAAAGAGCAGGGAATTCCTGCCACATGAAAGTGAGCAAGGGTGCAGAGCTGAAAAGGGAGGAGCACTGACCTGATGGCTGAGATGCCACTGGGGAGCCTGGAGGGGCTTTCTGGATACACAGGACCAGGGTCAGAAGATGAGGGAAAGCAGGCGGCCAAGACACCCTAGCAAAGGGCGTAGAAACTGCGATGGGGACTCTCTGTGTTTCCGTCTCATCCATCCATCCATCCATCCAGTCATCAATCCAGTCACACACGACCCTGCTCATTCAGTGATCTACCCGCCTGTCCACACCTCCAGTCCCCGTCTGTCACCCGTCAGCCCTGATCCGTCTATCCATCCATCCATCCATCCATCATAGCTCCAGCCGTGGCTGACTGTCACAGTCCCCTGAGCCTCGGGGTAGAGCTTAGCTGGAGGGAGAAGCCCGGCGTCGCCCCCGCAGACACGTGGCTGCCCGTGTCAGCGGGAACTAGATCTACAAATACCAATCCTTGTGGTTTGCAAAGTGCGTCCCTCAGAGCATCCGCCCGACAGCTCCCGGAGGAGGCAGGTAGGGTGGATGTCATCTCACCCACTTTATCACTGAGGAAGCTGAGGCCCTGAAAGGCCAGTCCTAGAAAAAGGGGGAACTTGGACTTGAACCAAGACATCGTGGCTGTTGGTCCAGTGCCCTCCAGTCTATAACTCCCACTTCTGTAGGTGACCTTCAGGGGCGCACTCTCAGCTGGCCCCAGGCCTGCCCTGGAGCACGTGGGCTCTTGGGGCTTTTGCTCTGGGTGGTCTCCTTTGCCCTTCTTAGACTGTGTTCCTGGAGGCAGATGTTCTTCTGAGCTCAGTTCTGTGCACACGGGGCTCTCCAGAAGTCTTGTCCTTCCTCATTTAAAGGCCCTGGCTCACCCAGCCCTAGACGCTGAGTGAAGCACATAAAGTGACCGGGGCAGATTGACTTCCAGGGGCTAGGGTACCCCTCAGGAGAGAACGCTTCAGTCTTCCCTGGAGAAGTAAGTTTCCTCATTTCTGTTGAGCCAGCAAAAGCCACCTAACCAAGGATATCCATCGTGGAAGGTGTGGCTCTGGACTGCTGTGGGTTTTTGGGCCTTTGAGCCAGGCTTTGGATTCTGAAAGGACAGTTTCCTTATAGGCAGCCATGGCTGAGATTTCAACGGTCACAGTCCTTGGAGAGCTTTCTGTGGAAGGAGGTGGGTCAAGCCCAGACATAGCCACATGGCCGTGTAGGGGCAGGCGCTGAGTCTGCCCTGAGCCGATTCCCCTTCTAAGGCAGGGGTTGGGTCTCGGGGGGGTTTTCCAGGTGTCCACTTGACATTAGTTAATAGCACTGGCGTTAATTAAGAGCAAGTTCCCACGTGGCTCGGCTTTCTGGCACTCTGAGGACCTCTGCTCCCCTTGGAGCTGGAGGGTCACTAGGTCTCTCTCCTCCCACCAGGAGCAAATGTGCATCGCCTCTGCCTTCATCCAGGGATGCTGGAGTGGGCGACACGGGGGAGGGAGGGCGCTGGTGCCCTTTGAGGTTTGATCGCATGGCCGTGGGGCCCCCGCTGAGGGGTTTGCAGCTCCAAACACCCTGTTCCCAAGTTCCCCCTGACAGCCGAACAAGCCTGGGGAGAGGCAGCCAACCTGAGGGGTCATTGTGTATGTTCCAGAGTCTCCCCCGCAGACTCCGGCTGAGGATGGATCCGAGGACCTGGGCTCTGAGACCTCTGATGCTAAGAGCACTCCGACGGCCGAAGGTGGGGCCTCCCTCCTCCACTGCCCCCTCAGACACCCGCGCCCCACCTGCAGCCTGCGCTTCGCAGTAACTTCAGCCGCCCTCCCCCCGCAGCCCCACACACGCCGCCCTCTGGCTGCCCTGCTGCTTCCTGTCTGCTGGCTGAGATACGCGCTCGTTCACTGCTTGGCGGGGCGCTGTCTCGGGAGCCGGCCTGCTTTGGTGCTAAGCCACCAGTGCTGGTACAGGCGCCTCCGCCCTGTGTGTACCCTGCAGAGCCTGGGCCGTGGGGCAAAGCAGGGCACAGGCAGTGTCTCCTACATCCGTTGTCCTCCTCTGCCCCCTCCGAAGCCCCTACCTTGCTTTTCTCTCGAGGGCTACGAGGGCCCCTGCAGCAGCTTGGCGGAGGCAGGGCGGGCCGTGCACACCTCATGCCCACGCGGCGGGACGTCTCATTCCTTGGGCTCTGGGCATGGCCTTATCCTCTCACCTGTCCTCTCCAACATTTGAAGCACCTCATATATTTCCCGAAATGCTTCTTAGTCCTGATTTTGACCGCCTCCTCTTGCCTCCCATCTGTGTCAGTGGAGACTACTGCGTTCGGCTTCTGGAAATAGAAAACCCGCCTAGCTGGCACACATGTGAAGAGATTTATTTGTGTCCCGCAAAGAGATGGCTGGGCTCCGGCAGCAGCTTCCCTGTGGTCAGTGCGCTTCTGTGATCACCCGCTGTCACCTCCAGGGACTGGATTGCTGCCTCACGGCTGCAGCACGGCCGCTGCCTCCTGAGCAACAGCAAGCCACAAAGCAAAGCGGTCAGTGTGACCCCAAAGCCAAGTATGTTCCTTTCTCATTTGGAAAGCAAGCGTTCAGCCGGGCCTGTGATCCCAGCGCTCGGGAGGCTGAGGCAGGAGCACCGCTAGGAGTTCGAGGCCAGCCTGAGCTACATAGTGAGTTCAAGGCCAGCCTGCACCGCCAAGCGAGACCCTGTCTCAAAATAAAAGGAAACAAGGGTTCTCCTGCAAGTGCCACCTGACAGATTTCCGCTTGGATCTCACGGGCCTCCTGAGCACTAGATCTCAGGGCCGCCCCTGGCTGCAAGGGAAGCTGGGAGATTGAGCGGTGGGCTTTTCCGCCCCATAAGTAGAAGTCAAGGAAGGACACTGAACAAAGGTTTGGAGCGTGTGCCCCTCCGCCTCTGTCCCTCCTGCAGAGGCTCAAGGGTTATTCGCACACCTCTCCAGGCCTGGGCGTTGCTCGGAACCCTGTGCCATGGGCTGAGCAGCTGGCCCAGCACCCACCTTTGGAGTGACCCGGAAAGCAGCCTGCCAGTTGCTCCGTATAACGGCACGTCCCTGGAGGATGCAACTGCGTGGTCCGTACCCCAAAATCCTCGGGGTGTGAAGGCGCTCTCCGCTCTCCTCTGAGAGCCGGCGACACGCGGCAGTTGCTGCTCATCTGGTTAGGGCAGCTCTGCGAGTTGCCTGCCGCCCCGAGAAGGTCCTGAAGCCGAGCCAGATCTCACGCCAGCCTCCGAAGCCACAGCGCTGGGCGCCCCGTCAGCACCGCTCCGGAGGGAGCTCCGCCTCGCCTTACGGCTGCCTGGCCCTGCACGCGTGCGGCCCCACGTGCCGTGGCCCTCGGCAACGGGAAGGGAGCTGCAGAGCGCCCAAGTCCGCCGCGGCCCAGTGACCTTCGCTAAACTCAGCGGACGCCGGCTCCAGGGAAGCCTTCACAGCTGGCAGCTCCTTACGTGTGCCCATGCGCCAGGGTGGGCTCCGGAGGACCACAGGCCAGAGCGTTTACCTTGCAGGGATGCTGGCCACTGCCTCTGGAGGCCACCCTTACCTGCTGCCTCTTCTGTGAAGCCGGGCCCATCTGGTGGTCAAGCAGGACTGGGCAGGACTGGCCTGGTGATGGCCATGTGGGGGGCTCTGTGCTTGTTAAGTGGGGGCTCCAGACCTGGGGAACAAGGGCTTAGAGGTGGTAGAGAGCTCAGAGGTCACCTGTGATGGCCCTCCCATTTTGCGGCTGAGGGAACCGGGGCCCAAAGAGGACAAAAGACTTGCTGAGAGCCTCACAGCAAAAGCACAGGTGCTGGCCCTGTCTGCAGAATCCCCCGGGCTGTGCCCCTGCACTGTCTTGAGGATCGCACAGCAGGGAATCGTCCTCTGGCTTGCAGCAGTTCCTCTTTAGAAACACCGGGACCATCCCGTCAGTCGGTCTGTCTCACCGTAACACTTACACGAGCTGGTTCTCCTGGAGGGTGGGCTGGTGTCCAGTGGCCGCTGCCCCTGCAGCAGCGTGCTCCGCGCTTGCTGGGGAGAGGGGGCGGGAGCCGTGCTGGGACCTGCTTTGCACTGGTGTCCTCCTGCATGCAGCCGGCCCCTCCTCACTCCCCGCCCCGCACTGCTCCTGCACACAGCACAGGCGCGAGCTGGGCGGCTGGCCGGCCCCGCTTAGGCGACTCTTGGTGGTTTCCAGAAGTGACTGCACCCTTAGTGGATGAGAGAGCCCCCGGCAAGCAGGCTGCCCAGCCCCGCCTGGAGATCCCAGAAGGAACCACAGGTGAGGGCAGCGCCAGAGAGCGCCGGGCAGGCACGGCCCCAGCGAGGGCTCCGCGTCGGGGCATCCTCGTTTCCAGCAAGGTGGGAATGTGGGCAACACTGGCTTCTAGAAATCCCGGGTTGTTGGGAGTCGGGGGCCTTGGTGCCCAGCTGCTTCCTGCCAGCCTCTCGGGGGGCCTTTGCGGTTTCTAGATTCCTCCTGGATCCTCCTCCCCTTGCCTCGGGCAGGGCATCAGCTCCAGAGGGCTCTCCGCAGGGTTTTCCGAGGCGGCTGTGGCAGATCCACACCTCCTTCACCTCTGAAGTCCGGCCGCCCTGCTGCTCAGACTCTGCCCCATGGCCCGTTACCCTCAAGGGCTGGTTTTCCCCTAGGAGCCCCCAAGCATGCGGCAGGGTCCAGATGAGTGTGTCACACTTCGGGGCGTCTGCAGGGGTGTCCTGGAGGAGCTCAGGAATGTGATCTTGCATCCATTTCTAGGAACATGTGGCCTTTCAAACCTTCCTTTCTAGAGCAGGCGTGTGAGGTTGCTGGTAACACAGAGGATGACAGGTCAGCAACAGAAACAGCACTGGCGGGGCTGGGGATTTAGCTCAGCGGCAAAAGCGCCTGCCTGGCAAGTGCAAGGTCGTGAGTTCGGTTCCCGGCACCGGAGAAAAACCAAAAAAAAAGAAAAAAAAAAAAAGAAATAGCACTGGCTTGGGGCTACCCAGTCACGCAAGAGCTACACTGCATCAGCCCCTGGGAAGGGCCAGCACGGCCTGGAGCCTCTGGGGTCGTTCCTTTCACGCCCTCTTTCTTGGGCTTATACCCCTGGGGAAGTGCAGCATGCCCAGCTGCCTAGCAAGAAACGCAGAAGAAGCGGGTGTAGCGGTTCGGCCCACTGCTCGGGAGGCTGAGCGGGGAAGATCGCTTGACTCCATGAGTTTGAGACCAGCTTGAGCAACATAACAAGAATCCGTCCAAAAACCAAAAGGATAGTGGGAGAAATGCAGAAGGGCTCTGTACAGGGTTACCCCCGGTGGAGGGCAAAGAAGTGCCCAGGGAGGGGTTTCTTTCTTTGCAGAAGATGCGCTCTCTGTGACGCTTGGGAAGCCTGCAGCTATCTCTCACCGTCCCTGCACTGAGAGTCCGTTGCGGGGCTTGCGGTGAGACTCTTGTCCCTTCAGAGTGCAGTTCTGCTTTGCAACGTGATCAGCCGTGAAATCTGAAATGGGTGAGGCCCACGTTTGAATCCCGGAAGCCTGAAAGGGCCTCAGTGTGAAGGCCACAGAAAAACTTGCAGGGTGAGATCACAGGGGACTGAACTGTCTTCTGGCCCTCCGCTGTTTCAGCGGGGTCTATCCTCTGCCTGAGGACGAGTCCTCCAGCCATCGCTTGATTTGTCCGTCGCCCTGGGTAACCAGAAACACCTTCTTGTCCGTATTGCAAAACGCGGTCTGTAAATGCCGATCAGAGTGACCAGTCCCACGTGGCGGTCAGTCTCCTAACCTCATTCTGTGCTGCGGCCCCTTCTTCTGGGGCTGGTGTGGACAGGGGGTGAGAGCAGGCGGTGTGAACCGCCCCCACCCGTGCAGGCGTGTGGAGTAACTTCTCCCATCGGGAGGCCCTGTTTCCGCTCTTCCAGACTCTTCTTCCTGCCCCGTCTCCTGTCCCCTGAAGGTCCTCTGCGCTGGGTCCCTGCACGCACGTCCTCTCTCCTCTGCCCTGGGGGTCGGAGGGTCCAGCTCCAGCCTCACTCTGCTGAGGGTGGCTCTCCTGCTGGTGGCCGCAGGATGTGACCTAACGTGCCCGCACGGCTCTCTCTAACGTGCCCACGTTAGGTCCGCAGGGACACTGGCGAGCGAATGGGGTACACAGCTTTCTGCCAGGGCAGCAGCAACACACTCTGCCCGCCACCAAGGCAGGACCGGCTCCTCTCCTATGCTCTAGCACTCCCAGGTTTCGAGCCAGAGAGTACACGTGCCACATGTCTCTGTGTGATTGGTGCCTACAGAGACTTCACTGGGACCGAGATGGGAGACGGCATGGAGCCACCCCCAACCCTCGAAGCCACCCTGTCCAAGGAAATCATCCTCAGAATTTCCCTCCCTTCTTTCTCCTTGAAGTCCTCGGGGTGGCAGGAGGCTTTAGAGTTGGTAAACACTTCTCGGCTGTCACCTCTGACTGTGTATCTTAGTTTAGCCCCTGACTGTAGCACGTCCATCTGCCGAATCCTGGTATTCCTGTGAAACCACCTAGCGATACCGTCAGGGCTGCAGTGCGCGGATGCTGTGAGTCCTGCGATGGAAACCCTCCCCAGGGGCAGGAGAGGACGTTAGCGCTGTGATGCCAGCTCTCTCCGTGCACTCTCTCCCTGCGTTTTCAGAGTACCCCTGCCCCAGCCAGAGGTATCACCACACTCCAATTTCTGCCTCGAATCAGGCCAAGGACGTGGGATCTCTGCGTGGGTGCAGGGAGGCGAGCCAGCTCGCCTGTGCCGTGGCGTGGTGGTGTCCGGAATGCCCTCTCTCCGGCCCACTGTCTCAAGGACTCCGTGGCCATTTAGCTGGACCTGCTGTCACCCTGAGACTTTCTTCCATGTCCGTAACCTTGTCCAAAATTCAGACCACACCCGTGCTTGTTGCTGAGATTCCCGGAGCGCTGGGCCAGCGCTTGCCCACTGTTGCATCCCATGATGAGGAACCGCCACCATCAGACCTGCGGGGCAGCACGGGTCTACTCCAGGGCACGCAGAGGGTGTTTGTACTGGTGACCTGTAGACGCAGAGCTCCCGAGCCCACTCCTGCCCCACCGCAGCCGCCCTGGGACAGCCAACAGCGCCATGCTTAGAAAGCCACCCGTGGCTGCCCAGCGACGCCGAGAATCTTTTCCCTGTTGCACTCTCCGTGGCAGCGTGATGGGCAGTGCTGGTCGCTGGACCGGTTTCAGTGTGGAGACAGCGCTGGGTCTCTCTGCCCCGCCGCAGGCAGGCTGGTCACTCAGAGTGGGGAGGACAGTGTGTACCGACTTGCCTTGTACACGCTGCCTCTGGACAGTTGCGCGCCTTGTCCTGATTTCTCCTGTTGCCTGGGATGAGTACTTACTGATTTTGGTCCTGTTGATGTGATCAGGGACTTTGCTCAGCTTTCTTTCTTTGGGGTGACTGGGATTCTCTGAACAGGAGCCTAAGGACCACCCCCCAAAAAATACTAGTTCCTGGGATTGCTAACCTTCTTCAGCGAGGCAGTACTTGCTCCAAGTGTGCCTTTAAAGGGATTTGGTGGGAAGGAGCTGAACAGCTTCGGGGCCCCTGCCGTACACCAGGCATTGTGCTGAGCACCTGCACCAACCCCCCACTACCCTGCTGTCCTCCTGCAGGACAGGCAAGCCTCGTCTCCTCGGGGTTCCAGTTGAGTCAATGGAGGCTCAGGGAGATCAATGAGCGGTGGTATCTGGGCGTGCACCCTGCTGCTCCAGCAATGCATAGTCTATCCCTGAACTCCTGCCCGCTGGGTGGCAGGGCTGCCCCTGGGACATGGCTCCCGGCCCAGCGCACGGCAAGTGCCCCTCTGACCCCCTGTCCTGGTATCTCGGTGGAGCGAGGTGTCAGTCCCTGGACCCTTGTTGGAGAAGTCTCTCGTCCTCGGCCACAGTTACGGGCAAGGCGTGTGGGTGCTGCAGGTTTCATTTGGGGAGCTTTTGTCACGACTGCCCCAGGCCGTGGCCTTTGCAGAGGACCTGAAGCTGCAGCCCCTGGGGCTCAGAGGACTGCCTCTCTGCAGGTTTGAGGACAGATACCAGCAGATGCAGAAAGCTGGGGGTCCAACAGACAGTAACTATCTTTGCTTTTGTCTTCTTCCTGTTGCTGCCTAAACCAGCTGAAGAAGCGGGCATTGGAGACACCCCAACCCTGGAAGACCAAGCCGCTGGACACGTGACTCAAGGTCAGTGACCCAAATTTCCTCCGCAACCTGGGGTCGGGAGGGGGGAGATAGAAGCACTCAAGTAGGCTCTACCCTAAAAGAGCTTGGACCTGGGCCCTAATTCTGCATCCGGGAGATCTGAGTTGCTGATTCTTGTCGAAGGTGGGCTCCTCAGATGCGGGAAGACCCCTGCTGGGATTTGTATGATACTGTTTGAGTCTTTCCCAAGGCAGAGTGTCCTGAAGGAAGTTGGCCTCGCCCAGCTTGGGAACTGAGGACAAATGTGCCACAGAAATGCGAGTTTGTGTCCTGGGTGGCTCTGGTGTTTTCTGGCCCCTTCCTGAGCCAAAGTGCAGGTGCGTCACAGCCCAGCTTTTACACGTGAACATTCTCCTGTGCAGCCCTCAAGCCTGCTGGGACTTCCTTCTTAGGAACCAAGCTGCTGTGTGCACGAGAAGTAGCTTTCTAGAACCACTTGTCGTAAATATTGTAAGGACTTGATTTAAAAATCCTAGAGGACCTTAGGGAGTAGAGACCTCTAATGTGGTTAAAACATAGGCTGGGCTTGTTTCCCAGTGTTTTCTGGATAACTTGAAAGTCTGCCGTATAATGAGGAGGATTGCAGACGGCCTGGGAAGAGGCTGTGCTTTTCTCCAGAGCGTCGTAGGAGATTTATCCGTTGTTTTACCCGCGGCGCTGTCTGCTTCCAGGGATTGTGCTGCCCTCAGGGCATGGCGAGGCCTCACTGCCCATCCTGGCCCCTAGGGGGCAGTATGTTCACAATTGCGTCCCTATGTGCAGACACTTTCCTTTCCTCCCCTGATCTCATCCAAAATGGAGCCTTTGGGGTTATGGACTCGGCTAGAAGGAAGCTGGAGAGTTTATTATAGGTTATTCTTTTGGGACTAGGTGGGACGTGCAAAGAGTTGAAAGCTAGAAAAACAAGCCGGGCATGGTGGCGCACGCCTGTAATCCCAGCACTTGGGAGGCTGAGGCAGGAGGATCAAGACAAGCCTGGGCTACAAAGTGAGCTCAAGGCCAGTTTGAACTGCATAGTGAGACCCTACCTCAAAAAGACACACACACACACAAAAAGGAAAGTTAGAAAAATAAATGGTGCCAGGCTGGGGAAGTAGCTTAGCAATAGAATGCCTTCCTAGCGTGTTCAGAGTCCGGGGTTCAATCCCCAGTACTACAGAAATAATTAAGGGTCATTATTAGGAGAACCATAACTCGCCTGTCCTTAACACACAGACACTCTAAAGGGGCATTCACGTGAATGGGCCAGACAAAACGAGTGTCCCCTTGATCAACTGAATGGACAGACAGCACGTTGCGTGGCCAGTCAGAGAAGGGATACCCTGAACCCTGCGTTGCCGCAGTGGGCCAGCCTGTGAGCCGAGCATGCCGGCACAGCCCTATAATCCCAGCTGCTTGGGAGGTCGAGGCAGGAGGATCTCCTGTCGAGGTCAGCCGTTGTCTCAAAACTTTATGCAGGTAGGGGGCTATATGCCGTGATAGAGCCCCTGCCTAGCGGGCACAGGCCCTGGGCTTGATCTCCAGCGCTGAAAAAGGCAAAAGACAGAAGGAGAGGGAGAGGAAAGGGAACCTCGCTGCCACCCGGCCAGGTTCTACCGGAAGGCCAGAACCTTCAGGAGATTTGAACTCCCTTGAAAGAGGAGGAAACTTCTATAGCGCGAGGGGTCGTACGCAGAAAGGCCCAGGAGATACTGGTGTGCTCCCTTCCCAGCACATCAGATGGGCCTTGGAGGTCACCAGGTCCCGCTGTCCGTGCTTTTATCGGGGAGAAAAGAGGGCCAGAGAGGGGCGGTGCCACCCAGAGCCCCCCGGCACGTTGGTGGCAGACAGAGCAAGAGAGCTTTCACTGCAAGCAGGCAGACGCAGAGGGAAGAGCCCAGAGCCACACCTCTGCCTCTGTTAGATGGGTTTATGACGACATAAGTGTGCTTTTCTGGTGGCCAGCGCGACGTCCCTCTCTTAAACAATTACTGCGCCCTTGCTAACCTTTTGCCACTGCTGCTTCTTCAAACCCAGAAGAGATAAGCGCTCCAGGCCAGCAGAGGGAGGCGCCTGAGCGGGCCCTGGCCAAGGAGCTCAGCGCTCGAGTCCAGCCTGGACGTAGCGGAGAAGTGGCTGGGGTCCCCGAGCCGCCTCTGGGTGGAAAGCAGGCGGAAGCTGCTGCTCCGGAAGTTGCCTGTGCTCCTCTGCAGCCTCCCGTCTGCCCAGCGCCCCCGCTACCCCGAGGCCCTGAGAGCCCTGCGCAGGAACGGGGACCCGAGCATGGGGACCAAGCCAAGGAGGCGCGAGACGTTTCAGAGCCCTCCTTCCCTGGACATCTCCACAGGGAGCCGGAGAGGGGCGAGGGTGTCCAGGAGAGCCCTCTGAGGCCGCCAGGCCGCCATGGAGGCGAGGCCTCGGACCTGGGCACCCCGGGTCTCACCCTCCCACACGCGCCCCGCGTGCCCAGGGCTCCCTGCCTGCCTGAGGGCCCCACAGGAGACACACATCAGCCTTTGGGGAGAGCACCTGAGCACCAAGGTTCCGAGCTGCGGCCGCGCCAGCCTGTGGGAAACCAGGACCAGGAGGGGCCCCCTCTGCAGGGGGCCCAGGGCAAGGAAAGGCTGGGGGGTGAGAAGGAGGTGGACGAAGACCGCGACATTGATGAGTCGTCGCCCCAGGACTCGCCTCCCTCCCAGGTCTCCCCGGCCCCCAGCGGGCCGCCCCCTCGTGCTGTCTCCAGAGAACCCGCTGGCGTGCCTGGGTTCCCGGCCGAGGGTGCCATCCCGCTCCCTGTTGATCTCCTCTCCAAAGTTCCCACAGAGAGCCTGGCCTCACCGCCAGACGGGCCTCGCACAGGGCCCGCGGTGGACGGGCCTGAGCCCGGTCCCGAGTTCACCTTCCACGTGGAAATAAAGGCCAACGTGCCGAAGGAGCAGGCACGCCCGGAGCTGGATTTGGAAGGGGCTGCGCTCCCAGCGGCCGCCAGAGAAGAGCAAGAGGCCCTGGGCCCCTCTGTGGGAGAGCCCGCAAAGGAGGCTGCCCTTCCCGAGCCATCGGAGAAGCGGCCTGCAGCTGGTCTGCCCGGGAGGCCTGTCAGCCGGGTCCCTCAACTCAAAGGTCTGTGCGTGAGCTCCCTCGCTGGCCCCCTGGCTCCTTCCTGGGCCATCCAGGCTGCAGGCACTGCCACTGAGCTTCCGGCCCGCCTTCACTCCTGCCGCCTGCAAGGTTCTAGGACAGCTACTAAACCAAGCACCTGGGCCGCTGCCACCTCCCCTCCTCAGCCGCCTGCCACCGGGCCCGGTAGCACCTGCTCCTCCCACGCTTGCCCGTGTTCTGCATGTCACCAACACCCTGGCCGGTGCTTTCGTCCTGTTCGGTTCTCTGCGCCCTTCATGTGTCAGCCCGTCCGTCATCCCACAGGACGGTGTCAGCACGCTTCGCAGAGCGGGTAACTGTTGAGCCTCACACGCGCAGGCTAGAGCCCTCCCAACTCCTCTAAGCAGGCAAAATTAGCCCCACTTTGCAGATGAGGAGACTGAGGCTCAGGAGGTAAAGTAACAGGCCGAAGGTCACCCATAGGAGGTGACAGAGCCAGGCTCAGAATCCAGGCGGGTCTGCTCTGAAAGATCCTCTTCCCGTACCCACCTCCTCACAGAGACGCAGAGACCAACTGCCGTCTCCTGCTGCCCTTGTCAGCAGACAGTTTGTCACCTTTGGCAGGCGACACCCGCGTAGCAGCTGGAGGTGGCCAGGAGCCCATGAGGGGCCTTTGGCCCAGCAGCCCTGCCCACTCTGCCCTGCCCTGTGGCAGGAGGGCAAGTGAGCAGAGACAGCGCCCTCCTGGTCCAAAGCGCCCTCCCCCTGGGCAGAGACCCAGGCTGCCCCCGTGCTGTCCTCACACACCCCGTGCCGTGCCTTCAGCTCCGCCCCCACCCGGAGCGCAGTCATAGCAGCCCTTCCGATTTGCGTCCCAGGGGAGCCGCACGGGTTTAGAATTCTAGAATGTGCTCATTTTAGAATTATGTGCCGGAGCTCGACGTGGAGGTGCACGCCTGTAATCCCAGAACTCTGGGAGCCTGAGGCGGGAGAACCAGCAAGCGTGAGCCTACTCGGGGCAGTTGAGCGGCTTAGTGAGACCCTGTCTCAAAATAAAAAGGGCTGGGGACATAACTCAAAGCCCCTAGGTTCGATTCCTAGAACCAAAAAGTAATTATTTGCAGGGCCCAGAGACTGGTGCCGCTGAATCTAACAGTCATAAACGTCTGTTAAATTTTGATCAGATTCTGCTTGTAGAGACAGCTTTGAGATGTGCTAGCTGAAGGAACCCGTGTTTAAAATGTAAGTCAGAAAAGAAGTCCTGTGTCCTGTTTTAAATTCCCAACAGCAGAGGACAAATGACTGTGACTTGACCAGAGGTTTCCTGAAGTGCCGCTGTACTGAATCCCGGCCCATGGGCCGTCCGCGGGTGTGCCTGGGGTGGGGGCGACGGCTCGGTGACCCAGCGGCTTTGGGTGGAAGGGGCTAAGCAGAGCTAGCCGGGCTTTGGTGCTGCAGGGCCCGCCAGGGCCGTCAGCACCCTGATGTATGTTGTGATCCCTTGGGAAAGACGCACCGTGTGTTTCCCGAATGCGTTTGCTCCCACCCGTCAGGCCTCTGGTCTGACTGAGTCCCACCCTGATTTGGGAAGTGCCCGGCTCAAGGGTGCTCTCGTGACACAGACGGTGCTGGCTGATCTGAGCAAAGGCAGGAACTTGTACGTCAGGTCCTCTCGGAGCTTCTGTTGCTGGGAACCGCGTTCATCCCGGTGGACCTGGAACCTGCTTCAGCAGTCTCTCCCGTGATTCCTCCACAGTCAGGTTGGGAAGCCCTGGGCTAGAGGAGCGGTGCTTGTCGCCCCACACCCCCGCGGGCCCCAGTGCCCCCGGGCAGAGGGAGTAGATGCTGGAACTAGAGAAGCAAGTCGACGGTCAGAGCTCAGTGCGGCGGAGGCCGGCCTCAGTGGCCGTGGCACAGTTCTGCCACGCGTGCGGCCCCTAAGCAGCTGGCAGAGGTCGCTGCTGAAGTCCCGATGTTGCCCGCAGGAGGTCTGATGGTAACTCACTGGAAGCCGCTCTGGAGAAGGAAACCAGGATTGGCCCCCCTAGAGGCCCCCGGGCGGCGGGAGGAGCACAGGGCTGGGGCAGCGTGGGAGGGCCGCGTGTGAAAGCAGCAGACCGTGACCAAGGTCCGTGAGTGGAGGGCGGGCTCTGGGGGCGCAGCCAGCTGCAAGGGGGTGAGGACATCACCCGGTTCACCGTTTTTGTAGCAGATGGCTGGGAGCGGGGAAAGGTGGTCAGCGTAAGGTGGCCGGCAGGGTGGACACTGGACCCACTGATGAACTAAGAGCTGGTGGCGGGGGAGCCAGGGGGCTCCAGTCAGACTTCTGGGCTCCAGAAGGTGAGGGAACTGCACAGAAAGCCACGGCCGGCCTCCGGGCACCGGGGAGACGAGCGCCCACCTGATCCTGGGCTCCCGCGCGGGCCCAGAGCTGGCTGAGCCGCCCCCACTCCCTGGAGGCTTGAGCGCTCCCGAGACTGGACTTGGCTCTGGCGGGGAAGGGAGGGAGCTGTGGGAGGGAGTCCTCACGGCCTTCCCTCAGCAGCAGTGCGGCCACCTGTGCCGCTAACAGCGTCCCTGCGTCCCCTCTGCACGTGCCCACCTGCCGCCAGCCTGCTGTCCCTGTCCCGGTGTTGCCCCACCCAAGCGCTGGCCGTGCTGTGCTGCGTTGGTACTAACAAAACGAGACCTAGGCGACTGCAGGGAAGAGAGACTCGGTCGCACACGTGCCTCCGATCCCGAGCCGCTAGCCAAGCCCTGCAGGCTCTCCTCCTGAGCGAGGAAAATGAGGTGTAACGTATTTCTCCTCTTATATTTTATCAGCTCGCATGGTCAGTAAAGGCAAAGATGGGACTGGAAGTGACGACAAAAAAGCCAAGGTAGGTGAACGGTCCCGTGGTTCTCCGCTGCAGCCGCATTTCCTCTCTCAGGCACTTCGCACCTTAAAACTGCTGCGAAGCGCACAGTGGTGGGGTTCCGGGAGCAGTCCACCACAGCCCTAGATAACCCTGATTAGAGGAGCACGGAACTTCCAATGTGAAGCCGGCCAGCGAGGCTGGGGAAGGGGCTCAGTGGCGGAGCATACGCGTAAATGCACAGGCCCTGGGTTGCCTTCTCAGTAACAGTTAAATAAGTAAACGCTGCCTGGGACACCTGCACTGTAATCGGCAGCGGAGCTCTGCGGGTCTCCAGGTCCAGAAGATGGGTCTGAAGTTTGGTAGCTTGGGTTGAGCTCCCCCAGGAGTGCCTGCCCTGGGTAATCGTGTGTGTCCCTGTCGGCCTGTGTCGCTTCCCCACTCCTGCTCCTTCCCTTGGGGTTTCCTTGTTTTTTTTTGGTACTGGGAATCGAACTCGGGACCTTGAGCTTGCCACATAGGTGCCGTGCCGCTGAGCTATACTCCTGGCCCAGGGATCTCCTTCTTGACAAGGCTGACGTAGAAAAGGTCTCAGTCACTTAGGCGGGGAATCTGAAGGTGATAAGAAATGTACCGCAGAAGCCCAGGCTCCTGCTCTGTCGCTCCCACTCCCACCGCAGAGCACCCTAGATCCAGCCTCTCCGCTTGTATTCCCTCCCCCCGGGCCACGCTCCCCAGTCCCCAGAGACAGCAGGAACGGTGGGTATCGGTCTCCATCCACCAAGGAGCCCTGCTCGAGCGGGCAGCTCCCTCCCGGAAGTTGTCCGGCTCCACAGGGTCACTGTTAGTCACCACCCTACCAGGCTAAGTATGTGGAGCATGTTCAGGAGCTAACCTTGGTCAGACTGGGATTTACCAGACAGACCAGCTAGTGTTCAGTTTTATTTGGAACTTGAATCAGAAAGAGTGTGTGTGTGTGTGTGTGTGTGTGTGTGTAGCCTCAGCGGTATCAGACAGAATCTATGCGCACCCTATCACTTCCCCAAGATCTGAGCAGAGAATGGGCACCTCTGACCCATGACATGTTGGGAATTTGTTCTTAAGAAACAACCCAAGACTCTTGATCTTGATGATTTCCACTGACTTATTGAGTGTGAAGCTCCTTTAACCGGTGTTCTCCAAAGTGGGAGGCACAAGAAGACCCAGTGGCTGCAGAAAGGACATACTAGAACGTCTATCCATATTTCATCTTCTCTTTTCAAAGTTCTGTCGAGTGCTTTCTCTGGCAGCACAGACACTACGGTACATGCGAGCCCTGTCATACGCAGTGTCTGCCATGCTTTGGCACTGTGGCTCATGTATGTAGCGGGTAGGTAATTCCATGTAAGGGACTGGGGTGATTTTCCTCCTTTACTGCTCAGAGGGGCTGATGAGGGCACCTGACCGTGCTGTGTGAGCTCACTGCTCTAAACTACGACTGCCTGCTTCATGTTTAGTTACTGTCCTTTTTTGAGTTTGTGTTCCTTCCCATGTGCTGACTTTTATTTTGATTTATGTTTGTTTTTAAGACCTCCACACCTTTCTGTGCTAAAACCCTGAGAAACAGGCCTTGCCTTAGCCCCACACACCCCACTCCTGGTAGCTCAGACCCTTTGATCAAACCCTCCAGCCCTGCCGTGTGCCCTGATCCAACTTCCTCTCCTAAACACGTCTCTACTGTCACACCCCGAACTGGCAATTCTGGAGCAAAGGAGATGAAACTTAAGGTAAGGAAATTGCCTTTGACAAAGATAGGCTGCTCTGAAGTGTTCAGATGTGTTTTCTTAGCTCCTGAGACCTTTTTTTTTTTTTTGACAGAGAAGAGCTATGCAGTCTACAGTTCTGGTTGAGAGAGGAAAGGCGGCTCCGAGCTGTACTTTCTCCCCCAAGTGGTACCCCTGAGACACCTGGGGGATTCTAGTTTGAAAGTTTCGTTTTAGCTGGGTGTGGTGGCACACGCCTATAACCCCAGCACTCTGGGAAGCTGAAGCAGGAGGACTGCAAATTTGCTGGACAACTTAGTGACTTAGAAAGACCTGTCTCAAAGGGAAAAACTGCTTAAAGGGCTAGGAATGGAGCTCATTGTGAAGGCCCTGGCTTCAATCCTTAGTAACTTCAAGGAAGTACTAGGAAGGAAGGAAGGAAGGAAGGAAGCCATTTCTCTAACTGGGTTCTTTTGCGCATTGCTGTGTCCTCGTCTGCTTCAACACCATTGGCCTGCAGCGACATGTCCCACCAGCCTGCCCCCTCCCGAGCTCCCTGTGGTCTGGGGCTCCTGTCGGTTTATTCTGGAGTTCACGCTACATCTAACGGTCACCAGCTGGGGAGCCAAACCCGTCACGGCCTGCGGTCAGCAGGCTGTCCCCGGGCCAGCTCCGTCCCCGAGCTGTCCCAGCGCTCGCCCACCAAGGGCTCTTCGGGTTACTGAGAATGTCGGGGTTGCTGAGAACTGCGGGTGGTTTGGGAGAAAATGTTCAGCATTCCTGCTCAGTGCTCAGTTCAGTGGAAGGTCAAGTTCATGGAGCCCTGGTGAAACCAGCCACTCGCAGTCAGTCAGATATATCCATAGTCAGAGTCGGAAAATGGGTATTCCCCGTAGTGGAGTCTCCCCGAGGTCCTGTCCTGTAATCAGACACCGAGCGGATAATGCCCCTGACCGTTGCTACGAGCCCTACTGTCTTGATGAAGCTGTTGGCATGGCCGTGCTGATAACCACTGCAAACAGTCCCTCTGAGAGGAATTAGTCACCAGGGTGCCTGGCAAAGGGCTGGGGCAGTGGGGCCGGATGCCCAGTGAACCTTGAGACCGTAGCTGTGCGTTGCATTCAGTAGGCAAAAGGCTAGCCCTGTCTTCACCACCTTGAGTCAAGCTGGCAAAGCGAGCTTGAGCTTGACTCACCGACGTTCGTCATCCCCAGTGGTAAGAACCACTGTACCCTGATTTGGTTTACAGGGGGCGGATGGCAAAACTGGAGCAAAGACGGCTACACCCCGGGGAGCGGCCCCTTCCGGTCAGAAAGGTGCTGCCAACGCCACCAGGATTCCAGCCAAAACCACGCCCAGCCCAAAGACACCGCCCGGCGCTGGTAAGGAGAATGTTCCTTGCGTCCCAGTGTGCGGAAGCTCGCAGAAGGTGCAGACCCTAGTCTCAGCGTGCCACTGACGTAATGCCTGGCGGCTGATCCATGCCTGTACTTTACTAAGCACTGGAGTGTTCGTTTTCTTCTTAGTCCTTTTGGCAATTTTCTTTTCTTTTGGTTTTTTTGTTCTGTTTCTTGTTTTTTGAGACAGGGTCTCGCTGTGTAGTTCAGGCTGGCCTTGATCTTGTGGTGATCCATCCTGCCTCAGCCTCCCGAGTACTGGGATTACAGGTGTATGCCACCACACCCGGGTTTCCTTTTTGCACTTTTCTGAGCTATATATTGAATCCTCACCTTTTGTCACCAAAGAATTCAAGGTTCTGTGTAACCAGCTCGTAGGGGTTTCTCCGGGGATTTCCCACTCAAATCCAGGGTTCCGAGGAGGCAGCCCCCGCATGAGGTGTTTTCAGGGCCCCAGGGGGATGTGGGGCGCTGTCTGTCTGGACACGGAGCAGCAGCCCCAACAGATGGCTGTGCGTGAGCTCACACCGGCCCCGGCCCTGCCCAGCGGCACCCGCGAGGGCTGCGGAGGCTTCTGGCAAATCGGAAGGTCTTAGCTGGGCAGCGCACGCTGAGCTTGGCCCCTCGGGCCCCATGAGTGAAACTCAGTCAGTGTGGAGCACCCTGCTCTGTCCAGCTGCCTCAGGCCCAGTAGCCCTGGGGCTGTCCCGGCGACCTGTCCCTGGCTGTGCTGGCCTGGCCTCAGGTGGCCTCAGAGCCCGCCTTGGTAGCTGCGTGATCTTGAGTGTGGAAAGTGGCGCCCGCCCAGACACGGCTCGCTAAGCCGCTGGTTTGCTGCTGTTGCTTAGCGCGTCCTTGCTGGTGTTTTCCTCACACACTCACGATCCAGGGGGCATTGGTGGAATTCTGACGCTCCTCGCTTATCGTTGTCCAGCTGACTTACACGGTAGCGACTGGAGACCAGGGCCTGCCCCGCTTGGGGATCTCACCGCCGCCACGAGGCAGCTGCCTGCCGCCGCCCGGCCCTCCCCGGGCCCCGGGCCTGTTTCCCGCCCCCGCTCCCTGCCTGCCGCTCGGCCTCCCTCTCCCGCGCTGGCCTGGACGCTGCCGCTGGAAAAACTCGTTGCTTAAGCCTGATTATAATGAGGCCGTCTGTGGGTTTCTCTTTTTAAGCTTTGAAGCAAGTGCAGAGAAAACCACCCCCTGCGGGGGCAAAACCGGAGAGAGGTAATTCTGGGGCTGCTTCCCCGGGTGGGCAGACTTGGCGTGTGCGCTGTCCCCAGCTTGTTTTCAGGCCAGGGGACCTGCTGGGGCCGTGCAGGCTGCCCGGGGCGTTGAGTGTGGAGCGGTTCCCTCCCTGCTTCTCTTTGTGCGGTTTGTGCTTGAGGGGTGGGGGTGGGGTGCTGTTAAACTCGGTGTTCTCATCTGCTTCAGGGACAAGGGCTGCGGGGATGGGGGCCGGGGAGCATGTGTCTCAAACTGTTTGGGGTGCTGGAAGCTTGGGTTGTCCCTAACCAAGGGTGCAGTGGGAAATCCCCACTGGCATTTACTAGGAGATTTTGTTTGTTTGTTTGTTTTTTGTTGTTTTCCTCCGGTACCGGGAATTGAACTCAAGACCTTGCGCTTGCCAGGCAGGTGCTGTGCCGCTGAGCTAAATCCCCAGGCCCGGTCGAGGAGTTTTGATGTTTTGGTTTCTGTTCTTCTGTGGTACTAGGGATCTACCCAGGGACGCAATGCTAGACCAGCATTTTATCACAGAGCTATAACCATAGCTCCTGGTGGTTTTGTTTTTCTTTTTGAAATGGGGTCTCATGTTGCTGAGGTCAGTCTTGAGCCCATAGGCTCAAGTGGTCCCCGCCTCAGCCTACCGCGCAGCTGAGATTACAGGTGTGCACCACCACACCCAGCTCCTAGTGGCCCCAGAGGGACCCTTTCAGAACTGTCCTGAGGGCTCTGCTGTCTCACCCCAGTTTTCAGATGAGGACACAGGCTTAAGGAAGATAATTAGTTGCCCAAGGTTACTCTGCAAGCAAGTGGCTTGGAAAGGATTTGAACTGACACCAAGCCCACCCCTGCCCTGGAGACAGACCTTGCCCTGTCGCAGAGACCCCACCGTGTCCTTCTGCGGGAGAGGAAGGCGTCCCCTGTCCTGCCGCCACAGAGCTTGAAGGCTTGGCAGCATCTGAGGCCGGGAAACCCAGACTCTAAACTCGGAGCTCTTGCTCCGCTCTTGACGCGAGCAGCCGCGGGTTGGCTGATTGGCCACACCGGGCAGCAGAGAGGAGCGTTCGTCCCAGGGGCTTCCTGGTGACCCTGGGTGGCACGGGTGGGTGGGGAGTGAGGGAAACTGAGTTGGCACCCCCACCGCTGCATACCCTGCTCTATCAGATGTGGGTGGGGCCCAGAAATCTGCCTTTTGCAAGTCCCACGCCCTCCTCACAGGCTCTGGAGACTTTCAGACTCTCCCCGCAAAAATAGGAAAGCTCCAGGGATTGACTCGGGTCTGCGGGGCCCACTTTGAGAAATGCTAGATTGTGAGGCGGACAGAAGAGCAAACCTGCGGTGTAACGGGGCCTGGGGAGGGGAGGGCGGTCATAGCCTCGTGTTTGGGCAGAGGATGCCCACGGAGGAGGGCAGGGCTGCGTCTGCGGGCAGAGAGCCCCAGCGGCCCTTCCGGCATTAGGAAAGGTGCGTGAGGGAGCGCGTTCGGGGGAGCTGGGAGCAAGCCGGGCTCCTCGGCGTGTGCAGGGCCAGCTGCAGGGCCTGCAGAGCGGGGCAGACGACAGGCGCAGGTACAGCACCCTGGAGGCCGGGTTCCGGAGGGAGCCCGGGACCCGCTGGGCCGCTTCGAATCCACCCGGAGGGTAAAAGGCCAGGCGCGTCCAGGCTGGCGGGCGGCAGCGGGGCCCTGCCGGTGTTCTGCCCTTGGTTGAGGTAAGGGCACGCGGAAGTGAGTTTTTGCGAGCACAGCCCTGCCTGGGTCCCCCCCACTGAGGTACAGTCCCCTGAGTTCTCAGGCCGAGGCCTTTACGCTCAGAGCGGGACAGCGCACAGCTAGCTGGAGGCCACCCCTTACCCTAGGACTGTGGGAGCGCGAATCGGGTGTTGGGGTGCTGGTGACCCTCTGTTACTTTCCTGGGAAATAACTGGGCGTCCCTGTCCCTAGGGGATAAGGCGGGCAGGAGGCAGTGCTTTTCTGAAATAGGTTCCAGGGCTCCTTCTGCGGCCTCGCGGTGTTCTCAGCCCCGTTCCCACCTGTGCCTGCTCGGTCTGAGCCTGGGCGTGGTGGGGCGGGGCCGGCGGGGAAGCAGCCTCAGGGCTTCGCCGACTGCTGCCCCCCGTGCCACCCCCTCACGCCTCTCCTTCTCCCTCAGGTGAATCAGCAAAATCTGGGGATCGCAGCGGCTACAGCAGTCCTGGCTCCCCGGGAACCCCTGGCAGCCGCTCCCGCACCCCATCTCTGCCAACCCCACCCACCCGGGAGCCCAAGAAGGTGGCAGTGGTCCGCACGCCACCCAAGTCACCGTCCTCCACCAAGAGCCGCCTGCAGACGGCCCCTGTGCCCATGCCCGACCTGAAGAACGTCAGGTCCAAGATCGGCTCCACTGAGAACCTGAAGCACCAGCCAGGAGGCGGGAAGGTAGGGCAGGGGGCGGGAAGGAAGGCAGGGGGGG